ATTTTTTGCATTTTAAACACCCAGTGGATGTTGGAATTTATTATAATTATTGTCATTATTATTATTATTATTATTATTATCATCATCATATGATGTAATTAAGGAAAAGAATTAATTAAAAGTCACTGTTACGGCAAAGACACACTATTCAAGTTCATAAAGCAACTGCCACAAATCACAGATAAGGTTACTATCACAAACAATACTATCACAAATAATTCCGATAGATATCAAATCAACATGTCAATCTTGAAAGTGAAAGCTAACCTGTATACCTACAGCATCGGCCACTTGTGTGAGGGAAGCATCATTAGCCCACGCAACACACTCTACGACGTGTTCGTGTCCCCTGAGCTCAGCCTTGCATTCCCTGGTGGAGGCTACCCAAACACGAATCGACTAAAAGAGAAATTAAGTAATAATTAAACATTTAAGTGTAATGTCACTGCTTCTTTATTCTTCTGCTCCCTCTCTCTCTTTCCCTGTGTCCTTTTCTCTCTTTCTCCCTCCCTCCCCCCCTCTCTCTCTCTCTCCCTCCCTCCCCCCCTCTCTCTCTCTCTCCCTCCCTCTCTCTGGTTCTCACCTGGTCATTAGAGCAAGATGCCAGTAACGAGCCATCAGGACTTACTCTAACACACCGGACCCACTCTCTGTGTCCAGTATAAGTTTTAACACAATAACTGCAAGGAAAGAAGAAAAACAGATAAATAAAATAAGGACAAAATAAAAAGAAATAAAGAAAAAATAAAATAGGAATAAAATCCTTACACCACTCACCCTGTAGCTACTTCCCACATTTTGAGGGTTTTGTCACGAGAGGCCGATATAAGAAAGTCTCCCGAAGGCATAAAAACTATCGACGATATATTATGATCATGGCCCTGAAGAGTCTTTGTACAAGTGAAAGTAGTGAAGTCCCAGAGTCGAATGGACATATCGGCAGAACAGGATGCTAAAGGGCGGAGCCAAGTAAAAAAGTCACATACCGTATTAGCTAGAAAATTTGGTGGAGTAAAACTTTGGCAAATTGAGGTCCATTAACCAAACTGTTAGTCTCCAGTTTGATAAGGCTCCATAGAAGCATACATAGAGTTAAAATTTCGCCGAAATTTTAACCTCCAAACCTCTTAGAGTCAATCCGCCAAATTTTAGCATTCCAAATTTTCTAGCTATATCATAACTTAAGGAAAGTGTAGGATTGCGACATACATGTATAATGGGGATTTTAAAAAATTGGTCAATTCTGTGTCAACTCAAAACATCATTCAAAATGTTATCTACATAAAAAGGTCAAGCTGCTCATGTACATGTAATTCATGTTTGTGTGACGGCTCTAAACCTTCCTTGATTAGTTAGGGCTGGGCCTTACCAAGAACTTTCCCTGTGTGGTCGAAAGCCAAGTCCTGTACAGCATCTGTGTGACCTTTCAACGATCTCTCGTGGTCCCCCGTCTCGTAGTCCCATATCTGTTGGGCGGAGTCAGTGGGTGTGGTTACAAAACAACACTCATACCTTAATCGTTGCATCCTCCGAAGCTGATGCCACAACACTGCGTATGTGTAATTAATAAATATTAATAACTAGTGACCACACCCACCTGTACTGAGGATGAAATAACACTGTAGTGATCGTTGCTCGATGACCACTCAACTCAAATCTGATGGGCATTAATTAGAATAGGTGTGGCAGGCATTAATTGGGGTTACTTTTCGGGTGGTCTGGGGATCCAATCGGCTGCCGATCTTGACTTTCTCGTGGCTCCGCCTTCTACGACCTCTCGCTGGACTTCACTCAATTTCGTCTCTAAATCCATTACCTGTAAAGTACCAACCAAATAAGCCCCGCCTACTAATTAAACGATTGCACAAACGCACCTTCTTCTGTAGACGAATTATTGATGTCCATTTCTTCTCTAGTAAGCCATTATACTTTGAATTACCAGGGTCTTTCTATTAAGAAATGAATAGAAAAATTATTACTTCTCTCTTCCTCCCTCCCTCCCTCCCTCTCTCTCTCTCTCTCTCTCTCTCTCTCTCTCTCTCTTACTAAATCAGTTTCTTTTTTAAATGATTCCGCTGATTCTGTAAGACCTTGAGACAGCAAGTAGTCAGCTATAGCATGATGTCTGAATAAATAAATAAAATAAACAAATATAGATAATAATTATTAATAAATCAGGCAAGGAAGCAACAGAGGAGATGAAAAAAATTTACACAATAAAACACAAACATGCCAACCATCCCTTCCTCCATTATATATACTGTATATTATTAATGATATCATTATTAGCTGCTATTTACCAATGGATCAACAGCCAAAACTAAATGGCTGATCATAACTATGAACCAGACAATAATAAAACAAATAAATAAATGGATGATATAAACAAACTTGACAAGGCCATATAAGGAAAGTAAGGGCCACCAAACAGTAATTGCAACAAACTTCATATGAACACACACAAACTGAGGTCACATACACAGTGTATGTACATGTACATGTAGAGACATTAAAAGACTTACAGTTCTTCTCTTTGCCTTGTTGATAGTAAGGCCTTCCCTCTTGAGTCCTAAGGAAAGAAAGAGAGAGAGGGAGAGGGAGGGAGGGAGAGAGAGGGAGGGAGGGAGGGAGAGAGGGGGGAGGGAGGGAGAAAGGGACACAAATTAATAAATAAATTAATTCCATTTAACGAGCGATAATTAATGGGTAATAGCTTAAAGCCTTAAATCCCCATAAAGATAATAACTACCCCCAAATAAGGAAAATACAAACGATACTACATAATATATACACAATACCCCTCATTATGTAAACTTCTAAAGACTTTTAAAAACCAAACTTACTTGATACGCTGACATAACGAGTTAAAATCATCTACTAAGAACTAATTGAGGACTGGAGAGAGTCACGTGAGCTCCCCAGGTGGAGAAGAGGAGAGAGAGTGAGAGACAATACCCTATCTTAGTAAAGTGCCTTGGGTGATTGTGGCAGCTAGAAAACTATAGGCGAAGGAGTTAAGAGCCTGTACGTGGCCTTACTCTACCTTCTTCTCTGAAACAATATCTACCTTGTCTTTAAACCTCTGTGGTCTCTCTCTAACGACTACAGGGCAGTCCCACTTTACCAGTATCGGGCGGTCGCCATTTTACCGCGCTCATGTGATCCCCTTTGTTAACCGATTTCGTGCGCATGCGCAGTAGCTCTCCCCGCCCCATCACCCACATGGCAGATTTGTGAATGGAGAAGTCTGAGCCAGTAAAACTAGAAACTGCTTGCGAATATAAGGCGCTTCAGGCTTGCCTGGAGAAGAATAACTGGAAGAAGGAAAAGTGTGAGAAAGAGTGGCTTGAATTTCAAAACCTTTGCTCGACCAACAAGAAGTACGTTAATGAGGGGTGTGGTTAAGTGCAGTTAATTAGTATGGGCGTGGCTTACAATATTTTTTTGCAGGTTAGCTAAAGAGGGAAACCTTCAGCTACCAAAGCAATGAGTAGTATTTATTGTTATCTAAGGCACTCAAATAGATGCAGTGTTTTTAAATTTTGTCGTTCGCTCCATCGCTCTCCAGTATTATACGAAACCCCTCCCATTACTCCACCCCCAACTCGTAATCCTTTTAAAAGAATCGCTCGCTATTTTAGAAACGATCCTTTTGCTCGTGTGTCAGTTATTTTTGGTGGTACAGTCCTCACAGTTCTGCTCATTATCGAAGCATTTATACCTAAAGAAGCTAAGAAGGTTAAACCTCAGGTGGCCATCCTACCACCATCTGTTTCTCATCCAACCATAGCTCGCGAGAACGAGCTATCATCTCTCCTAGCTTCCGTTCCCACTCTTGTAAGCACCAAACCCTCTGTTGTTATAGTAACTGGTCTGGTAGGAAGTGGAAAAACTGAACTGACGAATCAGTTTGTGTCAAAATTTGTTGAAGTTAGTTTACCTCGTTTTTCAAAGAAAGAGTCGTCCAAGCCGATTGTTATTCATTTAGATGCATCTGGGACCCGTTCACTTGGGGACTCCGCCCGATATGCTGTTGGGTCTTTAGGTGTGACGTCTTCGGAATCAGGAGACTCTCTATCGTCTCATTTGTCCTCTCTTCTTCGAAAGTTGGGAGAGCAGAAAGCAAGGTGGCTGCTCATTATTGATGGGGTTAATAGCGAGACAGCCCCTTTGATTAGAGAGTTAATTAGTAGCAGCACCAGTAATGGGAGGACACATCGTAAAGGGTATTTGCTAGTTACTGCTAGGAGTGGTGAAGTGTCCGGATTATTTTCTGGACATCAGAAAACTATCTCACTTGAAAAAGGGTAAAGCTACATATAGTTCTAATGCTTTCTAAAATGCTCATCATAATGCTTGAAGACCCTGTATTATAGTACAAGGAATTTTCAACAAAAATCACAAGGAGAGAATTCTCCATTTTAATAACTTTTTCTGATGCATATACATGTACTTATGTTGTGTAGAAAATTTGAACTGATTACAATTGAAATTGGATTTTTTTTACGAATTTTTAAAGTTGCTCAAAAATTGGGCCAAAGTCCCTGTACTATAGTACATGGTCTCAGGCCAAATTTTGCCAAAATTGAAAAAGAGAGAATTCTTCATTTTAATAATTTTTTCTGATGCATATACATGTACTTATGTTGTGTAGAAAATTTGAACTGATTCCGATCGAAATTGGATTTTTTACGAATTTTTAAAGTTGCTCCAAAATCGGGCCAAAGTCCCTGTACTATAGTACAGGGTACTCAGTCAAAAATTGCCAAAAATATAAAAGGAGAAAATTCTCCATTTTTATACCTTTTCTGATACATTACTTGTATGCATTGAATACATATGTGATCAAGCATGCCTTAAACATTTACTTTATTTCCTTAGACTCACAGAAACTCAAACTGAAGAATTGTTCTATAAACTATCGGCCAGTGAGCAGAAGTATCCAAAAGAACAAGTACAAGACCTCACCTCCAACCTTCTCCGCTCTAATCCTTATTTAATATCACTCGCTGCCCTCACTCTTCGCATGTATGAATATTTCTGCAGTCATCACGAGGGGGAAATACGCGATAATTTGCTGAGTCAGTATATTGATATGATTAAGTCATGTGACAATCATGTGACTGGTCATGATGATCACATGACTGGGAATGTCACCCGGTTATATATTGGAGCTTTGTCCTCGTGCGATAATTATTTCTTACATTCGATTGATTTCCTTTCTCTCTGTGATCTGGATCGGCCTGTTCCTATATCTCTAATTAAAGAGCACCTTAATAATCCCTTTTATCGATTACCTTTGACTCCCGGTTCTGCTTCGATCCTTGAAGACACACCCACTGCCCCTCCCATCTCTCCACCCTCTCAATCTTACTTATCGGCAGTTAAAGATAAGCTGACACAGATGACTGGTTGGCCTCCGCCCTCTCCCCCTCCCTTGCCTCCTTCCCAAGCTCTTCCAGACCCTCTCACTTCTCTACGTCTCTCCCCTTTTGTTCACGCCCACACTCATTATGGAGTTGAACTCTTATCATTTTCTCCTGGTCTGAAGGATCACGTTGATAATCATTTCTTGGCGTACACGGCACCAAAAATTGAGAAAGAACATTTGCTGACTGAAGAGCAGCGCTGGAATGAGTCTGCTTGGTTTAAGAGGTTTCGATCGTTTGACTCTCAGTCTTCGCTGTCGAGTTTTCATCGTTCCCTCCCCGGCTTGGAGTCAAGCAGTGTGCAGGCTGAAAAGGAATGGGGCAATAAGCCGCCTCCCTCTCCTCACGTGAAATCTTACTCTGACTACATTCACAATATCTCTCATAACCACCGCTTCCTGAGTGCTTTACGTAGCGAGTTAAAGTACCTAAGTCGGGATCCTTCTGATATTGCTCTAAGACGATACCTCAGACCACACCTAGTTTTATTATCGTCTAACGAAGGAGTGCTGAGTAAGCGAGATTGTTTATGGACTGAGGCTAGTCTACTATCCATTGATTCAGCTTTATCATCAGATAAGACTCTTTACATTAATAAGTATAATGACTTGGTTCAAAAGATGAAGGAGGTTTTTGGAAGCAAGGATTATGCAATAGCCTCTGCCTTGACTTCTCTAGCAGAGTTGCATTATTATAATGGCCATTACAAGAAAGCTGAGGAGTTGCTTCTAACTGCAGTGGGAATGTATGAATCATCTTCCCTGAACAGATCACCACTCTCATCTCTCTCTTCATCCTCTTTTCCTACTTCTTCTTTCACTCCCTCCTCTCTCTCTTTCTCTGATAGTATGGACTATGCTTTCTCTCTAGCTACACTTGGACTAGTCCTTGCTAGTCTTGAAGAGCGAGAAAAATGTCGTGATACTCTTGAAAAAGCCCTTGGGCTCTTCCAGACTCTACCATCGAACGGTGAAGTACCAAAAAAGCAGCGTAGACTTGTAGCCACTACAGTCACTGATCTTGGCCATGCTTACATTTCTACAGGTGATCTGATCTCTGCTAAGCGATATCTCGACTTAGCCTCAGTGGCTCAGCGTGGAATACATGGTGATGATCACCCCGAAGTGGTACGGACTCTTAATGTTTTAAGTATAGTACACGTGTTGCTTGGTGATGATGAGAAAAGCAGAGAATTGAGACGAGAGGCTGGTAAAATACAGCAGAGACTGCAACAGATATCAGATATTGCATAAACTATAAATTATTAATTTAATTTATAAATAATAATTACAAATTTAAAAATAGCTTTATTAAGAATATTCATATAAATAATGTTCTCTACTTCCTTTTTTGTTGTAATATTTGTTGTTTTAGCGTAAAATATAAATAAATAGTTTCTTTGTTTTTTGCCATGTAAACTGTAAACCTTCTTTCATCATTTCACCTGCTGTAGCTTTGTGATCTGTCCTTGGTTTGGAGTTTAGTTCTCTTGTGGCACGATACTCATCATATGCTTTCTTCCATCCCTTGGAAAAAAGAAGTAATTTAAGTTCAATTAATGATTACAATACTTCTATTTCTCCTTCATAGATTATTCCTCTTAAATCATCATTGGTCATCATTCTCTTACCTCTGAACTCTCCTTTGTACATCTGAAGAAAAAGATATCACATTCATAAAGTGAACAACTGTATGGTATGGTTATATAAATGACAGTTACTTCAATAGTCCTGACTGGTATGTCATAGTGTTTTCTGATCCATCTGTTGATTGTGAATCCTTTCCTTGAATCGTACATAACCTGCTCATGAATGACACTGGCCAACTGGTCCATCTCTACACTAGTCATTATGACTTTATTAATTCTCTTCATTTCTATAAATGGTAGATAGTGGATTATCAATAACATAATGTTAATAATGCAATGATACCTCCTGCTGGTGTTTCATCATCACTTTCACTAGCTTTCAATGCTAATATACCAGACTCAAATGCATCAACAATGTAGACTATGGCAATATTGACCACAAGCTATAATTTAGATGATTATTGAAAGTTATTGTAATGAATTCTTACTGTTGTCACCATCCAGAATAAAATGAAATACAATCTTGCTGCTTCACCAGCAGTCGATACAAATCCTTCCTATAAATCTAATGCTTTAATGTATATCAGTTGTGCTGTACCATTTGAATGAACCAATTATTAACAACCATTTCTTCATATAGTGTCACTGTATAATGGAATACACAGAGAATACAATGTTGATTATTGCACATAAACTTACCAAAGCTACGACCAAGAGTGTTAAAATTATTCAACCAGTACAAGTCAGGATTATCTAACGTCGACCCATTATTAGAGTAATAGACACCAACACCAAATGATGCATTTACGCTAGCAAATAAATAGAACATTATTTATGCATAGAATTTTTACTCTTTTTATAAACTAACCAGCAACCTGGATATACAGCGTTATCTCCTGTAAACACCTCCATACCGATTATTGAAAAGAAATAAAATACAACGATAAGCAAGATGAGGACACTACAAATTGGGAGTGATCATGAAAAAAATTAATAATAGTAAATCCCTAGTTTTACCCAAGTTAATATATTTGTGTGTGCATTGTTATAGCAACAATAACAAGAAGGTATCCTCACCTTGTCATTCTTGATGCCAGTACTATTAATATACGAATCAAAAAGAAATAATTCTTTTTAAGACGGAGCAATCTACACATGCCAAGATGATCAATACTCACATTTCATGTAGTTTAACACACCTTAATAATTTGAGTGGGCGTATCATGGCTACATATCTGAAACTTGGACTGTCTGCATCATTCTGAATGAGTCCTATCTCAATGCATAGGCAGATAAAGCTACCAACCACAAGAATATAGTCAACCCTGTGGATTATTAGGTTAGGGAGTGTTTTAATTGATTACTAGAGTGTACCAGTTTGCCCATTTCCTGAAGTATTTCACTGGTCCATTGAGGAACAACTTCAAATTTACTTCAACTAAGTAAACTATTGTATATATATATGGAAGAATATCATATTAACTAACTGTATTTTAACTTACTAAAGTTAAAGACAAATGAACCGGCTATTCCTAGCCTTGCTGAACAGAACTGATCACTTCCAACATCATCATCTACAAAAAGGCAAAGTGGATCATTATTACATGATGTGCCTCCACATACCACATGACTTCTCATGTACTATTATAAATGTGATGATGTAGAACAGATTAGCCAATACAATTACAGCTATAAAAGGAGACAATTAAAAGCTTAAGCTAATATTTCTTACTAATTAAAGTGTCAAAGAGCCAATGCTTCACCACGAAATGAATATCTTTGAATAAGAAACAATTATGACTTGTCAGTCATTACATTATTTTTATAAAACCTTACTGTATAAGATAATTTTCATGTTTAATGGTATTCTTTCTATCTTCTCATACCAAGTGACAATGGCACCAGTCTTGTGTATCTTAAATTGTTATTATAAACAGGATTAGTTTATGCATCACATAAAGATTACTCACCAGTTCCCATTTCATGTTCACGTAGTCATAAAAGTTTGAAAAGTCCTCCCAAGTGAGACAATCATCAGATTCATCGGAAGTCTGAAGTATTTTGAAAAGGCACATTGTTTCATAAGGAGCTAAAATATAAATTTAAAAATAACTATTGTAATAAACCTGACCAATAAGTATTAGCAACAGTATACTAACATGCAGTTGTGTAAACCAATGTGCTTTTGACCTTGAACTGTGCACTTAAACTTTACTTAGTATTTTACTTAAACTCTAACTCCCATTTAAACACTGAAATGTACAATGTATGCATCTATACCACTTACCCATCCATGGATTATACTTTTTCATAAATTGCAGAAAATCAGTGAAGACAATAACATCATTTTTACTCTTGAGAAGATCAAAGGCTCTAAACAGTGCCTCACTATTATCAATACCACATTCAATGAAAGAGAAAGAGTTATAATGTACAATTCACCGTTTGTGTAGTAATATTTTCTTGAACTTCCTCTTCTCAACACTTTTGAATTTGGCAAAAACAACAGCAAGCAGCTACGATGTTGATGTTATTGTTTATTCCTCCCAAAAGATCAAAATAAACAAACACACTTACAACATTATTGAAGTAATAGAAAGTCACAAACATGTACATCATGAAAAATATTGGAGCAAATTCACTTCTTAGATATGACTCCATAAATACATCTGGATGGCTGCATGTACATGCATAGACAAGTAAAAAATGTACAAAAGTATTTACTTTGCGGTAGTTAGAGTAATGATCATGCTCACTATACTGTCCTTTAGTGTATGAAAATACTACAAAATATAATAGAAATACAAATTGAACTGTGTGTATTGAACTCTGAATTCATTCTGTTGCTGTATATGGACTTACTGTAGGATTGATATTAGTGAATAGGAAGTAACCTACAAATGTTATGTCATTTAAAATGTATACTCAGTTTTTCTATCCTCACCAACTAATGAGAATACAGTAACAAGGAAGAATAATGCAAGCATTACATCAATAATGTACTTCAGGCATAAGAAGATTTGTCTTAAGACCCTAAGCAGATTTAAAAGTGAAAATAGTCTTAGTCAAAAAGCTTGCTTTTCACTGTCGTACCTGCGAACACCATACATCAGATAAGAGTCAAGAAGGATAAATGGACGCAGGGACCTCGTGATTCGTATGTGACGACTGTTTGTGACGAGAATCACAAAGATCTCAAGGTACATGATTGTCAATATGATACACTATGAATATGTTTGTGTATGCAGGAAAGGTTAAGATGATTTATGATACAGGAGTGTGCTTTTACATCAACATTGAACTAATATTTTATGTCAGTATAAACTTTGAAATGACAAACGTATACCATAATCGTTGCCCGGCTTCGGAAAAACAATTTAGGGCCGAGCCATAAGAATCGTAAGATGAGATTTGTAGTGAAAAAAGATAAGAGAAACACCTCTGACAATAGATGCACCTATTGCAACATTGAATATCAACATTAGATCAGTCACTTGCTGCAGTACTTACGGCCTTATCTGATCTCTCTGTTTTCTGTGTCTGTGTTGATGGCTCTTCTAATATAGCCAGTAGCATGATAGCTACAGCTAGTATCAGTGCAAGCCAGTAATAGAGGGGATTGTGGAGTATTCTGTATGCTATCCATGCTCTTTTTTTTTCCGGGAGAGAATCAAATTTCTCGTGGTCTCTTCCTTCCTTAACTATCAGAGCAGCTTTCTGCAGTAAACAAAGGTAACATAGCTTAGTCAAAGGAAACTATAAAAATAGTCTTGCTGTCAATCAGATTGTTTGGGAGGGTGAACCTAAATCTATCTGATGACACGAGGCTAAAGCAAAACAACCTTGTATTCTTTAGTTGATCCTTTGCTTTCAGCTACTTCGCTCTCTTCCATTGAGCTGTAGCCAGAAGCAAGGTCTCCTTCACCGTTATCCTCGTCTCTTTGATGATTACGAATAGACAGCTCTATGATGCCACAATCATCAGAATCCATAGTGACCAGCTAGAATTAGATCTAGATCTTTAGTTCACAAAGAGGTAAGCAGTCTATGGGTGGGGCTCAAGCCTTCAATTCAATTCCAATAACAGCATCTTGTTTGGCACAATGAATATAATTCCAAAAATAACTATGAATATTTGCACACATCATGTGTATTTGTACACACACATACTGTCATATACACACAATAAATGTAGTAGTATTCTTCATCCTAGTAAATAAAAGAAAAGTTGCTTCATTTTCTCAGCTAGCATGAGAATCATTCTCTTTGCATGTTCACGTGGAGTCTCCTTGTGAATTGCTATGCTGTCTCCTTTTTGTTTTGACACTAGCATTGCACGCTCTTCATCAAATTTCTCCTTCCATTCCTCCATGGAGCATTAAAGACATTGATACAACACAATCATGTAGGAATTTCCTTACTTCTATGTCTCCTTTGTAGATGATAGTTCGAAGATCATCATCTGTCATCATTCTCTTTCCTCTAAACTCACCTCCATACAACTGCAAGTGAGCAAAGGAATAACATCATAGTTATTATTAGTTTTACTTCTATTGTTCTGGCAGGAATATCGTAATGTTTTCTGATCCACCTGTAAATGGAAAACCTTTTCCTAACTTCATATATAGCTTTCAAATGGATGACATTCGATAAAGTTCTAATCTCAGACCTCGTCAGTGATATTTTAATTACTCTTTTTAATTCTGGATTTAAGCTGCTAGAGTAAGTGGACAATTTATCATTATTGTACCTCCTGATGATATTTCTTCATTCATTTTGCTAGCCTTCAATGCATTAACAAAAGCATCAACAATGTAGACTATGGCAATATTGACCACAAGCTGTATTTAAATGATTATTGGTACTTATTGTAATGAATTCTTACTGTTGTCACCATCCAGAATAAAATGAAATACAATCTTGCTGCTTTACCAGTAGTTGATACAAATCCTTCCTATAAATCCAATGCTTTATAATGTATATCAGTTGTACTGTACCATTTGAATGAACCAATTATTAACAACCATCTCTTCATACAGTGTCACTGTATAATGGAATGTACAAAGAATACAATGTTGATTATTGCACATAAACTTACCAAAGCTACGACCAAGAGTGTTAAAGTTATTCAAATAGTACAAGCCAGGATCATATAATGTCGAATTGTCATAATAAACACCAACATTAAATTCTGCATTTGCACTAGTGAATAAAAGGAACAGGTTTATTTCTACTTGTTTCATAAACTAACCAGCAACCTGCACGTACAGCATTATTTCCAGTGAACACCTCCATGCCGATTATTGAGAAGAAGTAAATTACAATCATAAGCAAGATGAGGACACTACAAATTGGGAGCGATCATCAAAAGAATTAATAATAGTATGCCCTAGTTTTTACCCACAAATAAGTTAATATATTTGTGTGTGCATTGTTATAGCAGCAATAACAAGGAGGTATCCTCACCTTGTCATTCTTGATGCCAGTACTATTAATATACGAATCAAAAAGAAATAATTCTTTTTAAGACGGAGCAACCTACACATGCCAAGATGATCAATACTCACATTTCATGTAGTTTAACAAACCTTAATAATTTGAGTGGGCGTATTATGGCAATGTATCTGAAACTTGGACTGTCTGCATCATTTTGAATGAGTCCTATCTCAATGCATAGGAAGATAAAGCTACCAACCACAAGAATATAATCAACCCTAAGAATGAAGATTGAAAATACTAAGCCTATGCTATTAGGATAATTATAGCTTGTCTTCATACCAGTTTGCCCATTTCCTGAAGTATTTCACTGGTCCATTAAGGAACAGCTTCAAATTTACTTCAACTAAATAAACTATTTTTATAAGAGAATATTATACCAACTCAACTGTATTTTAACTTACTAGAGTTAAAAATAAATGAACCAGCTATTCCTAGCCTTGCTGAACAAAAGTAATCTTTATTTTCTTTTTCTGTGCAATTATCATTCATTGTATTATTTTGAGCATTATTATTGTCTACATATAGTATGATGTAGATAATGAGATACAAGAGGTTGGCCAAGACAATTAGAGCTAATGAAAGAAATAATAAATGATACTAAAATCACATGCTTACCCATAACTATATCAAAGAGCCAATGATTCACAATGAAATGAAGTACTAGAAGATAAAAAATTAATGTATTAGACAACATTAGCCTATAGGTATACATTTTAAAGCTCTCTTTAGCTTTTTTGGAGTTTCATTCAGTATTTCATACCAAGCAACAATCCGACCAGTCTTATGTATCTAGCATATAGTTAATTGAAAATTAAATGTAACAATATTGGTATTATTACCAGCTCCCATTTCATGTTCTCATATTCATAAAAACTTGAAAATTCTTCTAAACTGAGGCAACCCTCAACTCCATTGCATTTCTGAAGTGCTTTAAATAAGCACATTGTTTGATAAGGTGCTATGTAAAAGACATAGATTATAAAAGGAGTGTGATTTAGTCTAATGGCTTACAAGTTCTAGGATTATACTTCTTCATGAATAACAAAAAATCAGAAAATATGATATTGTCATTGTCATTCTTCAGAAGATCAAATGCTCTATGCAGTGCCTCTCTGTGTTAAAACTGGATTAAAATTAATATTTAGCATAGAACCATTACCTTTTGTGGAGATAAAGTTTTTTATACTTTTTCTTTTCAGCACTTTTAAATTTAGCAAACAACACAGCCAATAACTGCATGTATAATTGACATCAAGAATATATAAGCATTGCAAAAACTCACAACATTGCTGAAGTAATAGAAAGTCACAAACATGTATATCATGAAAAATATTGGAGCAAAATCACTTTTTTTGTATGCTTCCATGAAAACATCTGGATGGCTATGGCAAAATAATAAATACTATTTTAATAATAGTTAATAAGAGTTTACTTTGCTGTTGTGAGAGTCACAATCATACTAACTATGCTTAATTCTAAAGTTCTAAAATACTAAAAAATTTAGTAATAATTATTATGATTATCATTTATATCAAAAATTTATATTAAGTGACTGACCGTAGGATTTATGTTTTTAAAGAGAAAATATCCTAATAATAATAATAATAATAAAGTAATGAATTAATACTGAGTATTGATCATGTGTGCATATCTTACCAACTAAAGCAAAAACTGCAACAAGAAAGAAAAGGACCAGCATTACATCAATAATGTACTTGAGACATTGAAATATCTGTCGCACAACTCTACAGTATTCCATGAATGATCCACAAAACTTTGTTTCTTTTTACCTTCTCACTCCATACATGAGGTAAGTATCAAGGAGAAAGAAAGGTCGCAGTGCTCTCATAATCCTCACATGCCGATCAGTTGGCTTAGCAAACAAAACAATTATTTCAAGAGTCATCACTATTATTACGATAGCCTAATATGAGCGGGTGATGAAATTGTACACAACCACTGTTTATAGTATCATTATAAGCAATTTAACCTACAACAACTGTTGATCTTCCTTTAAAAAACAGCTTTGGTCCCAGCCATAAAAAACGCAACAATAACTGAACAGCAAAAAATGTAAGAATTGCCAACTCAGTAACTAAGTGACCCTAGTTATGAAAAGAATTAGGCACACATCACAAAAATAAATACGAACAATTCGTTTCCCTTTGTTTTTCTCATCCAGTTCAGATCTAGCTGATGGTTCTTCCAAGAATGCCAGTAGCATAAGAGCTACAGCTAGTATCAGTGCAAGCCAGTAATAGAAAGGATTGTGGAGTATCCTGTATGCTATCCATGATCTCTTATTCTCTGGCAGTAACTCAAATTTCTCATTGTCCTTGCCCTCTTTTATCAGCAAAGCAGCTTTCTACAATAAGTATGCTTAAGATCATTATTATACTGCTTTAATGCAATTAAATTGAAAGAAAAATAGTGTACACAAGCATACTTTGTGGTTAAGGCTGGGGTGATAGCTATCTTCTTGGTTGACATCATCAAGAGAGTTTATAGGACTAGCAGCAAGTGGGGGCAAGGTAATGGCATCTGGTTTATCAATGTCTGATTCAGCTTCTAGTTTCTTCTCTTCCACTGCCCCATAGCTTGTGAATACTGTGTCTCCTTCTTGGGCTGAGGACATGATTGGGCTAGTCAACAGCAGCAGCAGCAATACTGGTAATGTGGTGCTGTTGTGTTTCTGGGGGCAGATCCATTGAATAAACTGTAAAATATGTAAGCTGTAGTGGATCTGTAACTTTGATATACTTCTTGAATAATAGAACAAGAGGACTGGAGAACACAGTTAGAGATTGTAAGTTAGCAATGCATATTTCATTTTAATAATATTAATGAGGTCTGATTGATCTTGAGAGATTGATGAGATAGTAAGAGAAAAAGTTATTATTATTATTATTATTACTATTATTATTATTATTATTATTATTATTATGTTGATTAACCCAAACATGTAATTAAAATTTCATCATAATGTGTATTTGTACACACACATACTGTCATATACACACAATAAATTTAGTATTCTTCATCCTAGTAAATAATAGAAAAGTTGCTTGGCTACCGTGAGAATTATTCTCTTTGCATGTTCACGTGGAGTCTCCTTGTGAATTGCTATGTTACCTCCTTTTTGTTTTAACACTAGCAATGCACGCTCTTCATCAAATTTCTTCTTCCATTCCTCCATGGAGCATTAAACACATTGATACAACAAAACAATGCAGAAATTTTCTTACTTCTATTTCTCCTTCATAAATGATAGTTCGAAGGTCATCATTTGTCATTATTCTTTTTCCTCTAAACTCACCTCCATACAACTGCTCATGTGGGCAAAGGGATGGTGTCATATAGTTATTATCAAGAGTAGATAATTATTATTAGTTTTACCTCTATTGTTCTAGCAGGAATATCATAATGTTTTCTGATCCATCTGTTAATTGAAAAGCCTTTCCCAAGTTCATATACAGCTTTTAAATGGATGACATTCGATAAGATTCTAACTTCAGAGCTTTTCAGTAATATTTTTGTTACTCTTTTCAATTCTAGATTGAAGTTGCTACAATAAGTGAACCATTTATCATTACTATACCTCCTGATGGTATTTCTTCATTTTTTTTACTAGCCTTCAATGCTAATATACCAGATTCAAAAGCATCAACAATGTAGACTATGGCAATATTGACAACAAGCTATAATTTAGATGATAGCAAAAAGTTTATATTGAGAGATGTTAGCTAGCCTACTGTGCTTATCATCCAGAATAAAATGAAATACAGTCTGGCTGCTTCACTAGTAGTCGATACAAATCCTTCCTACAAATCCAATGATAATCAAGAGTAGTAATATCAGTTGTACTCTACCATTTGAATGAACCAATTATTAACAACCATCTCTTCATATAGTGTCACTGTATAAAGAGAATTAAAACTAAAAGCATGCTTTGTTGTATACCATAGCTGCTGTAAAGTGTTGTGAAATTGTTGAGCCAGTACAAGTGAGCATCATCAGGCCTTGAACCGTTATTTTCATAATACTCACCAACACCGAATTCTGCATTTTTGCTATAATAGAAGACAGTACAATAATTAATAATTTCTTAAGGTCACTTACCAGCAACCTGGATAGACAGTATTATTTCTACCAGTGAAAACTTCCATGCCAATAATTGAGAATGAGTAGAACACAATCATTAAAAGGATAAAGACACTATGTATAATAAGAATTTTTTTTATAATTTAAAAGTCAATTTTACCTTGCCATTCTTGCTGAAAGTACTATTAGTATGCGGATCAAAAAGAAATAGTTCTTTTTTAAACGAAGCAATCTTTTATACAAAATATAAGTTGATCAGTAATTTTCACCACACTTTTACCTTAATAATTTGAGTGGGCGTATCATAGCTATGTATCTAAAATTTGAATTGCCAGCATCATTTTGAACGAGTCCTATCTCAATGCATAGGGAGATAAAACAACCAACCACAAGAATATAATCAACCCTATAAATGAAGATTGAAAATACATAACTAGCCTATTAGGATAATTATAGATTGTTTTTATACCAGTTTGCCCATTTTCTAAAGTATTTCACTGGTCCATTAAGAAATAGCTTTAAATTCACTTCAATTAAATAAACTATTGAAAGAATCTTATAAAACTTTAATGTGCTTTAACTTACTAAAGTTAAAAATAAATGAACCAGCTATTCCTAGCCTTGCTGAACAGAAGTACTGGTTGATGTCTAATTTTCTGAAGTCCTCTAGAGTCATTGCATTGTTTTGAGCATTACAACGGTCCACATGGACTATGATGTAGATAATGAGATACAGGAGATTGGCCAAGACAACCAGAGCTAATGAAAGAAATGATAAATGACATTAAAATCACACACTCACTTATGAGTGTATCAAAGAACCTGTGATTCACAAACAAATGAAGAACTGTATGATAAAAAATAAACTGAATAGTTAAGGGGAACAACAATAGCCCAGGCATACGTTTTAAAGCTCTCTTCAGCTTTTC